CCCAGGTCTCGCACTGCAGGAGCCGCCCGAGTCCCACGGAAAAGTCGCTGTGGCCAGAGCTGACCCTAAGTAACCCAGACGTGTCCAGCTGCAGCACCTGGGCTGACCCTGCCACCCCCCAGGGCTGGGACACACACATCAGCCCGGGACAGGCTGCCCCTAGCTCGGCGGCAGGGCTGCAGAGGATCTCCCGAGCTCACGCGCTTGCTGAGCTTCATTCCAAATACAGACCAGCCCTCGGGTCGGACTGGTTCCGAGCAGTCAATGGGCTGCCAAGGACACTGTTCCCTCGTCCCTGTGCTGCGCTCGCTCTCCCCTGGGAAATCAGCACATCAAGGCTCGGTTTCCTTAGGGCTTCTGCTGCACCCAGTGCCACAGCGCAGGAGAAACGGGGAGGCGAGTGATTCCCGCCCTACGCCTCGCCCCCACCCTCACCACCCAGGTCCAGAAGTACTCACTTTGAGTAGACTCCTTTCCTGTAGTGCATGAAGTTACCCGTCACCTCAAACGCAAAGCTCACGGGGTTGTGCCTCCCCACAGCTTCCACCATGCCATCCTCGTCATACTGCAAGAAGAGGATCCCAGTGTCATTTATCTCCCAATTATGCTGGAACCAGTCAGGATCCCTGGACCAGCAGGCAGAGCACAGTGGGGATGGACCCCGGCTTTCTGCTTGCAGCCAAGGAAACAAGTGCTGCTTGCCTCGAAAGACAAGACCCGAGACTTCCTTACAGCCTGGAGGTGCACCCGCTGTGGGAAGCGGGCAGAGACCCGGTGCCCGTATTTTGACTAGAGCTCTTCTTTGGTGCCACCCTCAGAAAAGGGAGTCGGCGGCGTGCAGCGGAGGAGGGGTGTGCACGCCAGTGGCTCGCTCCTCTCCCAAGAGCCAGCAGGCTGCAGCTCGTGCTGCGGAGCTTTGGGGCATCCCAGCACCTTCCAGGCCCGGCTTGGCACGGCCCCGGGAGTTCGGAAAGGCAGTGCTCGGGGCCTCACCTGGGTGATGTTGATAACGTCCTTGACAAACGCAATGGCCTTCTCCGGCTGGAACCTGCAGGTGCCGTTCTGTGGGCACAGAAAGGAGCCGGTGTCAGAGCCTGCTCTGGACCCGGCTCTGCCGCTGTGGGAACGTGCCTGAGCTGCGCTGGAAATACCTTCGCCCGGTACGGGTAGGTGTCCTCCCCCATGAGCCCTTTGTTATACAGGATGTATTCGAAGGCTTGGCTTGGCAGGCCCCTGCGAGACAACACAGCCAGAACGCAGATTAATTGGGATGGTGACGCGAAGGCTACTGCAGAGCAAAGCCACCGCCGCCTCCCCGCAGCCCTACAGACTGTTCCCACGAAGCGGGGGGAAAGGGAAGGACAGGGTGTATCCCCGACGCTCTACAGGCACGAACTCCAGTCTGTTCCTGCAGGATCTCCCCGTCCAGGACGGCAGGCCTAGCCCATCACGCCGTCTGGCACGGTCTCACCCAGGCACGGGAAGGCGCGTGGCCGCCTTGCCCACACAGCACCCACCGCGCCAGCTCGGCTCTGCAGCCTCGCCCACGGAAAGGTGTTTTCCGTGGCCTCTGCCCAGCCTGGCTGGGGTCCCCAGCTGCACAGCACAGGGAGGACACGGGACCCACGCCTCCAGCAAGCAGCTGCTTCCCTCCCCAGCCACCTTCAGGGAGCGCGTCTCACGGAGCGAAGAAAAGGGAAGTGTGATCGGGGCGTGCTCCGAAGGAGAGGACTAAGGAGGAGTCACGAGAAGAATAAGAGGTACCAAGAGTGGTGTTGCTCAGCTCTCTGAGCATTCCTCAGGGACTGCTTATCTCACAGAAAACAGAAGATCTCAGAAAGCTTTACTGTCTGCCTTCTCTAGCAATGCCAGTAGGAATTTACCAAAGGGGAAGCAGAGGTTTCTGTGGGTTCCTTCGAGCGCCGTGAGCCGCGCGTGACCCACCAGCAGAGCAACAGACAAACTCCCCTTCCTTTCCCTGCACATAAAGCCCAGTTAAAGCCCAGCCTCACAGCGCCCCTGACTGTGGTATCAGAAGAAAAACTAGTAAACAAGAGGAACAACAGAGGTTAGGAAATGCTGGAGAGTTAGTGAAACATCCTAACCTCAGCCAAGGGAAAACAAAACCATTCCAAGATCTGGAAGGATCCCGACACTAGATCTTGAGGGAGGCCGTCACACGATACTCCCGTTTCTATTCTTTATTACTTTATCTTACTTACCCACTGCAGCCGTGGTTGTTAAAAGCCTGAGCGCAATCAACTAACTGTTGTTCCGCCTACAGAGAAGTTTTCTCAGTCAGTATATGCTCAACACCCGCATACAGACAAAACGCAGCCGCAGGCAGGCCCCTG